TATTTTATTTTATTTATTTTTATTTTATTAAAAATTTTTAAAAAATGTTTATTTTTGAGAGAGAGAGAGAGAGAGAGAGAGAGCAAGCAGGGGAGGAACAAAGAGAGAGAGAGACACAGGATCCAAGCAGGCTTGGTGCTGTCAGCACAGAGCCTGATGTGGGTCTGCAGTCCACGAACTGTGTGATCATGACCTGAGCTGAAGTCAGACGCTTAACTAACTGAGCCACCCAGGCACCCCGAGCTTGTTTTTAAAATAGGGGAAACTATTCCGAAATAGAGGGAAATAATTTCCATAACCTTATCACACTGAATTTGTCATATTTCTTACCCGTATTTTTAGTGTATCTTTCTTACACTTGAGATCATCTTGTATTTATATTTTAAAATTCAGCATGTTGTATTAAACTTACACCCTAACCATCTGCCCAAATAATAGAAAATTTTATAAAGTTCCTTTCAAATAAATGATAATACACAATTAGAAAGATAAATTGTACTTTATTTAGCCATTGCCCTTGTTATATTAAATATGTAGATAGTGTTTCTAAATTTATTATTTTAAATAATAGAGGAACGTTTTGCACATAAAATCTTTTCTCACGTGGTCTTTAAATTCCTTTTATTTTTTTAACTATCTTTTTAATGTTTGTTTATTTTAGAGAGAGACAGCCTGAGTGCACAGGGGATGGGCAGAGAGAAAGGGAGACAGAATCCCAACTCTGGGCTGACAGCTGCGCTAAGATGATGTGGGGCTCGATCTCACAAACTGTGAGATCATGACCTGAACCCAGATCAAGAGCCACCCAGGCACCCCTAAATTCCCTTTAAATAGTTTCTTTAGAAAGAGATGTGACAGTGCCTTTTGATATGCCTTCCCAAATTACTTCCCAGAAAGATTATTTCAGTTTATATTCCCAGTGGCTTTTAGGAGCATCTCTGTCTCACTGCATCTTTGCTGCCCTTTAAGTGTTTGATGAGAATTAAAACGTGGTATCTCTTTGTTTTATTTTGCATTTCTTTATTTCTGAGATTTACACTTTTTTTCATGTATTTATTGGCTGTTTTTATTTCCTCATTTGTAAATTGCCCGTTATTATTCTATGTCTATTTATTTATTGGCATATTGTATTTCTTAAAAATTTTTAAGAGCTCTTTATAGATTACCATCCTTTTAATAGTTCCTGTTGCTAATATTTTGCAATTTGTTTCATTTTTAATTTTTTTAATCTTACAGATTTTAATTTTTGTATATTAAAATATGTCAGTTTTCCCCTTTGTAATTCTTTTACTAATTTGAGGAAGTATTTCTTTTGCTAGTAATCCCTTGGCACCTGTATTTTCTTATTTTTTTCTTATCTTTTTTTTTAACTCTATCTGGATTTTTCTGCAAATATCTTCTCAAAAAGAGAAAAATTCATACCTAATACACATTTATTTTTCCATTTCATCACAAATGTTTAGGTATTTTTATCTATTAATTTTCCCAAAGAACTGTTTTTTTTAGTTAAAAAATTTTTTTGAGGTTTTTATTGAGGTTACATTTATCTTTTAAGTTACTTTAAGATCCTGACATTTTATAAAAGTGAGTATGGAAGCTCGTGTGGAGAATATTGTTTTAAAAACTTTGATTTCTTTGATAATTATTTCTCAGGAAGCCAGTTAATGTGAACAAAGTGCTTGTGTCTAATTAGCTGAGATGGTAGAACAAGGTGCTGATGAAGCTAAGGAGGTGGCATCATGTGATTCAGGTTCCAGGTGTTCCAGTAAATCCAACCATTTAGATTGGTTTCAGTGCTCTGATTGGTTAATAATTGTGAAGAGTCTGGGATTTTATCCTACTTGCAAGCTAACAAGTTAGCCTACCACAGTTTCATGGGTGCTGGCAGAAAACACAAGACCTCTGGCCAGAGACAAAGGACTTTATTACTTACAGCAAAAGCACTAGCCAGAGTCCTATGTGCTTGCATTGGTTCTCTGTGCCCTCAAAGTAGGGTTTCCAGATGAAATACAGGAAGCCTAGTTAAATTTGAATTTCAGGGGCGCCTGGGTGGCTCAGTTGGTTAAGCGTCCGACTTCAGCTAAGGTCATGATCTTGTGGTCTGTGAGTTTGAGCCCCGCGTCGGGCTCTGTGGTGACAGCTCAGAGCCTGGAGCCTGTTTCAGATTCTGTGTCTCCCTCTCTGACCCTTCCCCATTCATGCTCTGTCTCTCTGTCCCCAAAATAAATAAAAACGTTAAAAAAAAATTTTTTTTTAAATTGAATTTCAGATAAATGATAAACAACAAATAACTTCTCAGTGTGTCATATTGCCCCATACATTGCATAAGGAAAACTTATTTACGTTTATTTATTTATTTTGAGAGAGAGAGCACGCACACGCATGTGTGTGTGTGTGTGTGTGTGTGTGTGTGTGTGTGTGTGTGTGTGTGTGAGTGGGGGAGGGGCAGAGAGAGAGGGAGAGAGAGAATCCCAAGTAGGCTCTGTGCCTGATGCGGGCTCGATCTCACAACCGTGGGATCATGTACTGAGCTGAAATCAAGAGTCTAGCGCTTAACTGACTGGCTCACCCAGACGGCTCTTTACCACTTTTGTAGTAAGTGGAAGCAAGCGTGCTCTATTTCAGGATGAGACATTACCTCATCTTAAGGTTGTTTACTGCTAGTACATCCCTGAGAAGTGGCCTGGTCAGAGCTTCACATTCTTGGCATACCCAGCAAGAACAGGTAGGCATGTTTAGGCATATTGGTAATTGCCTCTCCTAGCATGTAGGTATCAGAGGTAACTCACTGATCTTCAGCTTTGGCTGGCTGCCTTTGTGTATATTTGATTCCCAGGAGTTTTGGGGCCTAGATATATTATTTTTTCATATAATTGGAGAAGTTGCTGGACACAAAGGTCATTCGTTTCTTTAGGTCAGTGTTTTTGAAAAGTATACTTCCCAAACCACCACCACCAGTGTGTCCTTGGAACTTGTTAGAAATTATATAATAAGACGTTACCAGACTTCATTCAGAAACTCTGGGGGTGGTGCCCTGCTCCCCATATTGTGATAAGTCCTTTAGGTGATTCAAATGCAAGCTAAAGTTTAAGAACTAGTGCACTGAACTATAATAAAGGTAAGGAAAGGGAGCTTACATTTGTTATGCAACTTCTGTATTCCAGGTTTTGTATCAGGAGCTTTACATATGTTATACCATTTAATCTTCAAAACAGTCTTATTAGGTATATCAGACCATAATTTTACAGTTGAGGAAACTGAGGCTCAGAAATTGTTAACTAACATGTCCAAGATCCTAGAGTTATTAAGTGGCACCACTGGAATTAGAACCCATGTCTAGATGACTGCAAATCCATGCATTTTGCTAAGCTTTTTGCTACACAAATGAGGTAAAAACTGTGTGTGGAATATGTAAGATCTTTTATTTTGATAGTGCTTAAAATAGTTTGCTTAGTGACTGAATCTTAATACTTTATAATGGAGAAGTGATTTGCATTTGATAACATTTAATTGCAGTAATACCTCAAATTTTCACTAATCCTAAGTCTTTCTCATGTATTTTTCCTTCTGTCTTCTCTAGACTGATGTTCCACTTCTAACTTGATATATTTCATCTCATCTTTCACATCTCAAATATTACTTTTTGAAAGGTTCCTTCTTTTTCCTTATCACAATACCCTTTTTTTTTTATTACCTCATAGCATTCAGTATAATTTATGATTAGATATTTTTGTTTATGGCTTGTCTGTGCCTCTGTACTCTAAACTTCACATGGATAAGACTGTCATTTTCACTTAGCACAATACTAGGCACATATAGATATGTTCAAGAAATATAAATGAGTGAATGTAAAATGAAAATAATAATACCTATTCTGTCTTCCCTTGAGGGCCCTGAGGAGACAGTGAGGTAATGCGTGTAAATATGTTTAGCAAAACAGACTTAATATGAGATGGTTTTATCATTTAAAGTTTAAAAAAGAGGAATAAAGATATATCTCCTATATTTGTATTATATTTTTTTAAGAAAGAGGATAGTTAATATACTGACAGGCTTATGTATGGACCACTCACAGAGCTTGAAGACTTTTACATACATTTTCTCCCATTGTCTTAATTCTTAATACTTCATTTGAAGTCCTTATTACAAAATTATTACAGTTTTTTTCTCTAAAAGATAGAATGCATCATTTTGGCCTTATACATCATTTTGGCCTTATTGAGAAATAATTTCCCACTTGTCCCACATTTATAGTATTTTGGTGTATTTACCATGTGAAATAGGCTGTGAAGTACTAACGGTGATAAATTATTAAGTATAATCTGTACCCATGGTTTTGTCCACTTTTTACATTAATGTTTAAAATTTTTAGTCCTTTTGAGAATATTTAAATATTCTCGAATAAAATTTAAATAAAAATATTTAAAACTGCTATTTTAAAATTGGATTTAAATGTCTGATCTTTAATATTTGCTTTTTTTAACATATATATATACTTAGCATATATATATATATGTTTGTAGCATATGCTACATCTCTCTTCCTGTTCCTGCTTACTTTCATCTCACCATGGTGATATTGGGTTTTTGTTTTAAATGTTTATTTGTTTATTTAGAGAGAAAGCAGGGGGGGAGGGGCAGAGAGAGAGAAGAGAGAATATGAAGCAGGTATTGGGACTCAATCTCAAGAACTGTGAGATCATGACCTAGCTGAAACCAAGTCAGATGCTTAACTGACTGTGCTACCCAGGTGCCTCCCAGACTGTTTTTTTTTTTTTTTTTTTTTTTTTTTTTTTTTTTTTTTTTTTTTTTTTTAAGAAAGACAAAATGGTTAAAAAGACATTCCACAACAAAAATAAACTTTATGTTTGTGTTTACCTTGTCTTTTAAAAATATTAACAATTAACTTATTTTTAATTATTTGCCAAAAAGTTTTTTATTTCTTAATCAGTTTTTGTTATGTTGTTGTTTTTGTTTGTTTCTGTTTTGGGTTCTGTTTAGGTTGTGGTTTTTGTGGCCAGATGATACCCTGAAGAATAAGAGGTGTAAGAACAAATGTGGTTGTCTTGGTGGCTGCAGATTCTTTGGTGGCACAGTAACTGGCCTAGATTTCTTCAAACTTGAAGAGTTGACACCTTCCAGTAGTTCTGCGTTTTCAAGCACGAGTGCAGAGTCTGATATGTATTATGGACAGTCTCTGCTACAGCCTGGAGAATGGATTATTACTAAAGAAATTCCCAAAGTTGTAGATGGTAATGTGTTGTCACTTGTGCTAATCTTTTATTATCTTTATCTTTACATCATTCTGAGAGAGCTGTGTTACTTTGTTCAACTCAATTTTTTGAGCAGTCTTATAGGTAGAATTCATTATAATCTGCCTTTGTTTTGCAGATGATTTAACTAAAGCCAGATAAGACTAATGAGTTTTTTATAGTTATACAAGGCAAAAGTAGGCCTACTCTTTGGATCTCCCATTGTTGGTATTGGTGATCTTCCTAGCCAACTGTATTCTGAGTATTACATATCATTTCCTAGAAGTCAGCTTCCAGAGGTGCACTTAAGAATAGCTGTGTTCCAAGGTAACAGTTGTTTTATCAAGGTTACTTTTATAGGAAAACTTGTCAAGAGTAGTATCTATACTATTGGGCTTCATGTTACCAACTACTTTTGCAATATACTCTTATCACTAAAAATTGAACATATCAAGAAGAGAAATGTGACCTTTCCTTAGATCCAGTAGGATAACTTTGTAAATATACAAGGTTGGTATAAGCAGTAAATGGTGGTTTTAAGTATATTAGACTTAGATTTATCTAGTATCTTTTCTCTAAAGACTTCAGAAATGGATTTTCCTTTGGATTTTTTTTAATTGTGTGTTCCTACAATTAAGTGCAGTGTTTACTGCCTAAGTTGCCATGCTGTCAAGAAGTGAAATTTAGAGAAGTCTTGGTATTTTACTAATATTAGCCTTTTCCTCTCGATCTATTCAGAAGCATTGACAGCACTGCCTTTTGTCTGTAGACCCAAAGGGAGGGAAGAAAGTGTATTGATTTCCTATGTATAAGGAGCTCTTAGAGGAAAGAGCTGAGCTACATATGTCAAACTCTCGTTTTAATGATATTTCACTAAATATTAATACATAAGTATGTACATCTTATTTAAAGTTGACTTCTGTAGTTTTGGCTAGAATAACAGTACATTATTATTATTCTTTTTAAATGTTTATTTATTTTTGAGAGAGAGACACACAGAGCACAAGCTAGGAGGGGCAGAGAGAGAGGGAGACATAGAATCCGGAGCAGGACCCAGGCTCTGAGCTGTCGTTACAGAGCCTGACGTGGGGCTCAAACTCACAAACCATGAGATCAAGACCTGAGCTGAAGTCAGGCGCTTAGCCCACTGAGCCACCTAGGCGCCCCAATAACAGTACATTATTGTAGAAAATCTGCAAACATTAAAACTTCTTGACATTTAAAAGATAGGAAAGATGCTAAATAAAATATATCATTTTTCTTATTACTTTCTTACATTTGAATAATGTTTGTTTTTAAAAGTTTTCGCAGGCATTTTCTCATTTAATCTTCAAGCTACCATGTGAGTTCTATATTTTCCTTGTTTACAGTAAGGAAAGTGAGGCTCATCACTGAGACTGAGTTGCATGAAATCATATAGCCAAGTAGATGGCTAAGCAGAAACTAGAATCAGGGCCATCAGAGCCACTTCAGTGTTATTTCTGCTGTACTACAGCTGGCACTAATTTCAGCACTGCTTGATTTTCTAATCTGGATGAAAATTTAACCATCACAAATGGAAGACAGAAAATCTACAGGGAATTTACACATAGTAGAAAAGAGGGAAGAGAACAAATTCTCCAACTGAACAAAGCAAAGCTCATTATAACTCTTATAATGTATAATAATAAGGATTTTCTGTATCTCCTGTTGATTCAGGAGTGACCTATAATTCACAAATTGCTATAAATTTGCTATAGATTTAACCACTATGTAAGTATGTGACTTTCTGATTGTTGTGGTTTCCAGGAGCCAAGTATAGATGTGCAGTGTTAGGATAGAATCAAGGAGGGCACATGGTAGAACTCAGGATTTCCTTGGAAGGTCAGTGAACACTAGTTTCCTACCACTTACAAGTGAATGAAACTCCATTTTGACTTTTACTGCTTTGATTTTTCCATTTGTGGTAAGAGAAGCAAATAAGATTACTTATATTGTAAATTCTTAAGTCTTCTTACTCCTTAAATTCCATCTAGGACTGCATTCTTCTTGGAGAGAAGTTTTCTCCTACTAGCAGATTCCTCTTTCTTGGATAACACAGGGATGGTTGGAGGAGAATAGAAACTGGGCCAGACTTATCTTTTGGATCTAAGCAGCTGTAGAACTCTCTTTTCATTCTCCTTCTCCTCCATTTACATAACACATCACAGGGCTCTTAGAAAAGGCTGAGGAAGGGGCGCCTGGGTGGCTCAGTCGATTAAGCGTCCGACTTCGGCTCAGGTCACGATCTCACGGTCCGTGAGTTCGAGCCCCGCGTCGGGCTCTGGGCTGATGGCTCAGAGCCTGGAGCCTACTTCCGATTCTGTGTCTCCCTCTCTCTCTGCCCCTTCCCAGTTCATGCTCTGTCTCTCTCTGTCCCAAAAATAAATAAACGTTAAAAAAAAAAAATTATAAAAGGCTGAGGAAATGTTCCACATTAAAGAATACATGACAACTGAATGCAGTAATATATGATCTTAGATTGAAGGGGCAGAGGTGCTTTAAAGGACATTATTGGGTCAATTGAAAAAAATGGGAAGCACATGGAAGATTAGATAACAGTATTGTATAAATACTAAATTCATCAAATTGACAATTATCAGTGGTTATTTATTATTCTTAGGAAATAAACATTTATTTAGGGTAAAAGGCTACAATGTCTGCAAATGACTTTCAGTTCAAAAAGCACTATGTATATATTATACATAATAGAGAAAATGGGGCAAAATGTTTAAAATAGGTAATTCCAAGTAAAAAATTTATGGTGGCTTTGTGTTATTCTTTAAAGTTTTCTGTAAGTTTGAACATTTTCAAATAAAGGTTAAAAAAAAGAGGAGGAAAAATTTCAATGACTATGGACTCTGGATCCATACCTAATGTAGATATCTTTCTATAGTGTTTAGCATATTGTTATGTGAAACTGAATACTTTTGCTGTAAAAAATGATTATGTTTATAAAAATAAGAAATTGGATTAAGTGTTCACATTTTTCACAAATTGCTTTTGAAATTATGTTCATATAACCTACTTTTTTGTTTGTTCAGGTAATGTGAATGGCATGAAGAGGAAAGAATGGGAAAACAAATCAGTGGGAATAGAAGTAGAAAGAAAAACTCAGCACCTTAGTCTTCAAGTACCGTTACGATCTCATAGCTCATCTTCTTCCTCAGAAGAAAATAGTAGTTCTAGTGCTGCACAGCCTTTATTGGCTGGAGAAAAAGAAAGTCCCTCTTCTGTTGCTGATGACCATTTGGTTCAAAAAGAATTCTTGCATAGTGCGAAAAGAGATGATGGCCAAGTAAGGTCAGTCAGTATTCAATTAGATTTAGAAACCTGATCCTAATAAGATAGTTATTACCAAAAATTTGGCAAGAAAATCTTTTTTCCTCTCAACTCATCTACTATAGAAAATTTTCTGCTCCTGAACATATTTTTAAATGTTAGTTTGCTGTTGTCTGGTTACAAAATTAATACATATTCACTGCAGAAATAGGAAAATACAGAAAAGTATAATGAAAATAAATATTTCTTGTCATCTCACAGATATGAACATTTCAGATTTTCCTCCACTCTCCTTGGCTAGTCCTTCTTATTCCCTATTTCCATATCCTCCATTTTTCACCCTTCATCTCTTCTTTCTCTTCCTCTTACAACCTGCCATTGGTTGGATGTTATCCCTCAGGACTCTGTTCTGTACCTTTATCTCTACTCACTCTGTACTGTTTCCCTAGATGGTCTCAGTAATGGTTTGGCTTTAATTAAGATCTTTTAAATCTGAAACTCCAGCCAAAACTTTTGTTTCTATAGGCCCAGCTACTTTTTTTTTAATATATTTTTACTTGGATGTTTCATGGAGACCTCAGACTCAACCTATAAAAAATGAACTAGTACCTCTCATGCTCAGCTTGCTCTGCCTCAGTAAATGGCACTAGCATCAGTTGCTGAAGTTGGTGATATTGGGGTTATCTGTAACTTCTTCCTTTCCTTCAATGCCTCTCATTTAATCAAAGGCTTTGGTATATTTTGTTGGACAGACTTTTAAAGGATGTAAAAAAAAGTTATAAATGCATTAGTGTCCACAAAATATGGATTGAAGATTATACTTTGGGTTTCTTCAAGTTTGTATTTTGCTGTAAGCTGCCTCAATTTTTTCAGAACCACATGGGGTATGAACACATATTGTGCTGTTTTGCTACTTTGTATATTTTATTGTAAAATTTTAGATTTTCCTTTATTCATAAAAGAAATGATTAAAATTACTGAAAGCGTTTTCTAAGTGCTTCTCTTTGTACTTATATGATGTATAGTAAATGGTAATAGCTTTGTTTTCTGCTTTAGTATTCCTACAGAAATATCAGGAAATAGCCCCGTGTCTCCTAATACTCAGGAAAAGTCAGTAGGTCAGTCTCCTCTGAGATCTCCCTTGAAACGACAAGCCTCTGTATGTTCCACTCGACTTGGAAGTACCAAGAGCCTTACTGCTGCTTTTTATGGGGACAAGCAGCCTGTTACAGTTGGAGTCCAGTTTAGTAGTGATGTCTCCCGAAGTGATGAGAATGTGCTAGACTCACCAAAGCAGAGAAGGAGTTTTGGTTCATTTCCATACACACCATCAGCAGACTCCAATTCATTTCATCAATATCGATCAATGGATTCCAGTATGTCAATGGCTGATAGTGAAGCCTACTTTTCTGCAGCTGAAGAATTTGAGCCCATTAGCAGTGATGAAGGCCCGGGAACTTATCCAGGTAGAAAAAAGAAGAAAAAGCAAACACAGCAGATTGACTACAGTAGGGGTTCCATATATCACAGTGTGGAAGGGCCACTTACTGGCCATGGAGAAAGCATTCAGGATCCCCGAACTCTGCCGTTCAAAACTCATCCTTCCCAGGCTTCATTTGTTTCTGCGTTAGGTGGAGAAGATGATGTTATAGAACATCCGTATGTTGTAGAAGTTGAGAAAACAGTAGAGAGTGAACAGATTACTTCTCAACAACCTGTGATGAATTGTTATCAGACTTACCTTACTCAGTTTCAGGTAATTAATTGGTCAGTGAAGCACCCTACTAACAAAAGAACCTCAAAATCCTCATTGCATCGTCCCCTCGATCTGGACACTCCAACCAGTGAAGAAAGTTCATCATCATTTGAACAGCTTTCTGTTCCAACTTTTAAGGTATAAACCAAGCCATTAGTTTCCACTGATACATTTAGTTAGATAAATCAGTTTTTAAGATGTTTCCAAAATTACTCTCTCAGTCATTTTAACTACCTCTCGGAAAGGTAGAATTTCTGAAATCATGGCTTCATGTGTAACAATAAATCTTAGGGTTATCGATGAGTATTATAAGTTTAAGCATATCAAATTAAGGAACAGTTTCAGACTTGATTGTCACAGTGTTAATTAATATATGGTCTCTATACACATTATGCTCTAAGATTAAGATCAAGTCTCTGTGATTCAAATTTTCACATGTCTTGAAAATAAAATTTTGTAATTGTTTTTAATAGCTGGTGTTCTTTCTACTCAATCTGTAACTGCTTCTAAAAAAAAAAAAAAAAACTCTAGTTGCTTCTATGCCAATCCAATTCCATGTGCTTGACATTTGAGACCTTCTAATTTAGCAGGAATTGGTTATTGTCCATTTCTGTAATGTATTCTGTAAATAGCTTTTTAAAGGAACACTAAAAATGCATCAAAATAAATTTAGTGATAATAGCCAATATGAAAACTTTTATAAAATTATACATTTATAAGAGATTTTTAAAAAATGATTTTAAAGACCAAAATTAAGCATGTAAAATCTTATGAAACTGATTAACAGTGTTTAAGAATTTTATGTGATGTTTACTTACATAAACATACACACTTATTTAAAGTGTCTAAATGTTAATTTATTCATTCTTAATTCAGATATTATATACTACTGTGTGCCAGGCATTTGATGTACAGTGATGAGGAAAACAGACATAGGACTTATAGTTGAGGTGTGGGACCCAGACAGTTAATAGAAAAACAGATAGGTATATGATTACAAATTGAGAAGAGTCTTATGAAGATAATCAAAAAGAGAATAATGGGGGATGGGGCTACCTATATTGCATTCACATTAAAGATTACTGGAGGAGGTAATATTTGCACTGAAACTTAAAGTATGAGAAGAAATTGATGATGGGAAGACCTAGCACAGGCATGAGCCTTGCTAAAATTCTAATGTGGGAAAGAAGTCAGTGCACACTGAACAGTTAGCAGGGAGATTGCTCATTTTGAGGCTAGAGACCTAAACAAAAGACAGATCATTAAGGACTTAAAAACCACAGTTTCAGTAGTTAAAATTTCATTAGGAAACTTGTGAGAACTTTAAGGAAATGTGATCTTACGTACTTGACTAAGTAGAATTGAATTGACATTAAGCAGGAGAACAAGTGGGGTAATCACTTAGGAAGCTGTTGCAGCAATCGGTGCAAGAGGTGACAGGGCTGGACTTATGTAATGCTGGAAATGTGATAAATGGAGTTGGAATACATGTGTACATTTGAGCAATTTTTGTTGAAGGAAGAAGAAGCATTAGTGACCATTACAAAGTTTTGGTTTTAAGGTTGTGCCATTTCTTGCCCAAGATGAATGACCCATGTTAAGATTTCAAAATGTTTTCTTTATTCCATGTGAAAATATGTTGGTATATGAATTTTCCAGTATGAAAAACATATGGTACTTCCAATACAGAAGAGTAACTGAGAGGTTAGAATTATTTTAGTAATTGCATAAATCTTTCTAGTTTGGTTAGGCAATCAACTCTCTGGAGTAAAGGAAGTAATTCATATCTTTAGATAATTTCAAAATAGAATATAGGCAATAAGAAAGTCATTTTTCTCTATTAAATCTGAATAACTGGCTAGCATTTAAAAGAGTTCAGTTTGGTTTGAATAACCAAGTGCATTATTAATTTTAATTGTTATCTGTTATCTACAATCTAGTTTTTCGTATAACTTAATGTTTCTCTGGGATTCTTTCTCACTTAAAAGTTGATTGTGTTAGGAGAAGGTTCTAAAATTAGTTTAAGAAAAGCTCAGAAAAGGAACTTTGGAGTAAAGACATTTGAAGCACTTATTTTTAAGCTTTAGTTATGTAGTCTTTTACTATCATTATTGAATCCTCACAGCCCTGCCCTCTCATTTGTCTGAATAATCAGAAAATGAAAGTGACAATTCCATATTTTATATGACTTTCTCAATTTGTTAAATATTTTTATCGTACATATGAAAAGCATATTAACAAGGTAATCTGGATATTGACAAATACCAGTTGATAGCATAAAATTAGAGAACAATTAATATTAAAATTCTAGACTATAATGTTTTATATTATTTTAGGTTATCAAACAGGGGCTCACCGCTAATTCTTTACTAGACAGAGGAATGCAACTTTCAGGAACAACTTCGAAGTAAGTAGAAATTACATACTTTTGAAGTTTAAAGTATGTAATTTAACGATATGTGGAGTTTATTCTGAGGAATAACCATTCTTTACTTACTTGACTGTAAACTTTATCTTTTATTTATTTATTTTAAAATTTTCCTTCATAATTTAATTCTTTGACCCATTGGCTTGTTCAGAAATGCAGTGCTTGATTTCCACATATTTGAGAATTTTAAAGATAGCATTTTGCTTTTAATTTCTAATTTCCTTTGTAATCACATAATATATTCCTTATTATTTTGGTCTTTATATTTGTTGAGACTTGTTTTGTACCCTAGCTAGTATTCCGTGTTGGTGAGTGTTCCACAAGCAGTGGAAAAGAAAGTGTTTTCTGCAGTTGTTGGATGGAGTCATATTGTGCACATGGCAGAGTTGGTGGATGGTGTTGTCTGATCTTCTCTAAGCTTACTGGTTTGTTGTTCACCATTTCTATCAGTTGCTGGGAAAGTAGTATAATCTTAACTAAAGTTGTCAATTTATCTATTTCTTCCTTCAATTCTGTCAGTTTTTTAAATGTATTTTTTTTGTTTCTGATTTTATTTTTATTTTTTTATTTACTTTTATTTTTTTAATATTAAATTTATTGTCAAATTGGTTTCCATACAACACCCAGTGCTCATCCCAACAGGTGCCCTCCTCAATACCCATCACCCATTCTCCCCTCCCTCCCACGCCCCATCAACCCTCAGTTTATTCTCAGTTTTTAAGAGTCTTTTATGGTTTGGCTCTCTCCCTCTCTAACTTTTTTGAAACTCTTAGTAGATTTTACACATTGTTCTGTCTGCTCACATTGATTTATCATTACAGAATATCCTCTTTGGCTCATGTAGTAATTCTTTTTTTTAAGTCCACTTTGATATTAATCCAGCCACCTCAGCTTCTGTGATACAAATATATTCATGGAGTATCTTTTTCCATTATTCTTATTATTTTTACCTTCCACATGTCTATAGTATTTATACTTCAGTTGCATTTCTTGTAAGTAATAAATAATTGGCCTTGCATCTTACTTTATTATTTGTTTTTCCAGCTGATTTATTCATTCTCACAAATAATATTTCATTGGCCATCATGTCTCAGGAATTGTCCAAAGCCTTGGGAAAATGAAAGAAAAAGAAGATTAATTCTGGAACTTTTTTTTAAAAATTTTATTTGTGAATTAGTTACCACAAATAATTCAACTCTGTTGTCTGTCATGGCTTTGCCAACATTTATAAGCAGCCTATAGCATTTCTGTTAGACATACTATGTTAGACATACCATAACTTGGCATATCAAAATTGGGAACTAACAAGAATTCAGTATTGTAGTTTTCATATTTTGGGAAAGCCCCATCAAATAACTATGTCAACAATTTTTTTTCTTACTTGATGTATTAACCAGCTTTGATCAGTTTTCATTTTTGTACCTCACCTGTCCTGTCTCTGAAAAGCATTTGGGACATAAAATATCTAGTTTAATTCCATGAAATTTTTAGTTGAAATAAACGTACATTTGAGTGGTCATTCATCCTAAGGAAACTTTAAGTTCTATTATTTCTCGTGATCTTTTAAACCTGTATTTTGCTTGTTAAATTGTATAGTACACCATATACTCCTCTGGAAAAGAAAACTGTTGATAACACAGATGATGAAACATTAACAGAAGAGTGGACCCTGGATCAACCAGTCTCTCAGACCAGGACCACAGCCATAGTTGAAGTAAAAGGGACTGTTGATATTGTTCTGACTCCCCTGGTGGCTGAAGCTTTGGACAGGTATTACTTTTGTTTACAAATATAACTATTTCATAAAATTATAAGTGTATGTGATATGATTAGTGTATGTGTTAATAAAGAAGATTGTTGATGATGGCTATTTTGATTGAACAAAGATGAAAATATGTTTAGAAAGGTTTATCATTTGTTACTTTTTCAGCATAAATAATTATATTGCAATATTGTAATTATTTTATTACATTATATTTTCTCTTTTTTACTTTGGGATGATGAGCATAAAATGTAACACCCAGGAACTAATTAGTATGTTTGATATTCTTACTAGTATCTACTTAATGAAAGGAAAAAGGGGAAATAATAGATTTCTGTGTCCTGCAAGGAGCTTATAGCCCAGCAAAGGAGACAAAACTAACACGAATAAAATCTAGAGTGGAACATAATGGGCCTATTTAGATAAACTAGACTGTAGTATTAAGTGATATTTAAGTTTTTCATATACTGTTTTTTTTTCCCTCAGATATATTGAAGCGATGGTTCATTGTGCTAGTACCCGCCATCCAGCTGCAATTGTAGATGATCTCCATGCCAAAGTCCTCAGGGAAGCTGTCCAAAATAGCAAGACTACCTTCTCAGAAAATGTAAGAACATTTTTATTCAGTGAGTGTAGCCAATTGAATACTCTTCATGTGTACATGATATTTAAACTTGAAAAAAAAACATGTATTAAAATTTTATTAGCCCTTTAAATTGGAATACATAGACATTTTTTTTTAAATGTTCATTTATTTATTTTGAGAGAGAGAGCATGAGGGAGGGGCCCAGACAGAGAGGGAGAGAGAAAATCTCAAGCAGGTTCTGTACTTTCAGTTCAGAGCCTGCCACGGGGCTCAATCTCATGAACTGTGAGATCATGACCCGAGCTGCAATCAAGAGTTGGAAGCTCAACCGACTGAGCCACCCAGGCACTCCAAATCCATAGACATTTCTGAATAGTCTTTGTATGTTATTGGCTCCTTAGGAGATACCATATATAACTGTACTGTGAATAAATAGCAATTAAATATTTATTAAAGTGTTTAGCTTTATTTTTTCTTTTATATCAGAAGTAACTTAATTCTAAGCCTTTCCTAAAGAACTTTGGTCCTAAGTGAATGAGCAATCAATTGTCAGGCTGGTACATTGATTTTCTAAGAATGCAAAGCTGCATATTGACTTTTCTCTGTGATTAGATAACTTGTGTCTAAATATTTTTGAGATTATTTTTATTTTATTTTTTTAGAGAGCGAGAAAACGTGCATGCATGGGCACACATGCACAAGTGGGGGAGGGGCAGAGGGAAAGAGAGAATCTTTTTTTAAAAAACACTTTAAAGTTTATTTATTTATTTATTTAAAAAAATTCATTATTTTTATTTATTATTTTATTTATTTATTTATTTATTTATTTATTTATTATTTATTATTTTTGAGACAGAGAGAGACAGAGCATCAACGGGGGAGGGTCAGAGAGAGGGAGACACAGAATCTGAAACAGGCTCCAGGCTCTGAGCTGTCAGCACAGAGCCTGAGCAGGGCTCAAACTCACGGACTGTGAGATCATGACCTGAGCCTAAGTCGGCCGCTTAACCGACTGAGCCACCCAGGCGCCCGTAAATTTTATTTATTTTAAGAGAGAGCATGAGCAGGAGAAGGAAAGAGAGGGAGAGAGAGAATCCCAAGTAGTTTCTGCACTGTCGGTGCAGAGCCCAATACGGGCCTTGATTTTACAAGCCTATGAAATCATGACCCGAGCTGAAATCACGAGTCGGTCACTTAATGGATTGAGCCACCCAGGTGCCCCAAGATTATTTTTGTTCACTTCAGTGAATTAAGTCATCATCTCCTGGTGTGTGATGTTCTACTTATGTTGTAGTTCTAGCCACTGAGCCAGTTTCTTAGCAGTCATATCATGGTGATTCTCCATTTGACTTTCAAATTTATCTGGGTCATATTTGGGCTAGAGACTAGAGGCAAGATAAAGTGAGGTTGGTTATTTTTAATGATCCAGTTATTCAAAACATATTGGCATTTCATGTGACAGGTAGTTAGGGTATGAATACATCAAAAGAAATTTGAAAATATCCTCAGCCAGTAAGGAGCCAATTATCAAAAACCAAATCTGTTCTTAAATTAATACATTTTACTGATTCTAAAATAACACCTATTGCCATTTTTTTTTGTGTTTCTCTGTAGGGTGTTTTCACTTTATTTTATATCACTTCTCTTCAGCCCTGAAGCTGCTAGTAGTGTTGCTAGCTTTTCTAAGGTTTGGATTTTAAGAGTGTGGGTGCTAAAGTGGATGGCAGCTGGCATATAGATGGGCATACAGGAGCACATTGGATAAACAAGTTGCAATTGTGGATGATGTGGAAATTATGAAAGTTCTCTGAAATAATAATTCTACTTTAATCTCTAGCTATCTTCCAAACAAGATGTTAGAGGAACAAAAACTGAACATACTACCATAGGAACTACTAACCAAGGACAAGCACAGACAAATCTTATAATGAAGCAAGATAATGTAACAATTAAAGGTCTTCAGGCTAATGTTAGCATACCAAAGGTAACAATTTAAAAAATTTTCCAGAAAGAGGAAAACATTTTGGTGGGTTTGGGTTTTATCCTTTGTATTTACTAAGCTGAATGGTGGTAGAATAGATTATATCAAAAATATATATTTTATTTTTTGATGATCTAATGGAAAAATTAATATAGTTTACTTAATTGGAATATGGGGTAATATGAAATATTCCACATCCATCCAATAAGAATTGAATTATGATTATGAGAGTCTATCAGACACATATATACATGATTCTTAACAGTAGTTTTTCAGTTTCTTGTATATTTTATGTTTAACTGATAATTTTTAAGTTTTTAACTCTGAAATTTATGACATTTTGTGTTAGGTAAACTTATGTTTGTTACAAGCCTCCGTGGAAGAATCTCCAAGTACAGCTCCTAATAAAAGCGTGACTCATGTTTCTCTAGTAGCATTGTGTTTTGACAGAATTGCTACACAAGTTCGTATGAACAGGTAAGATTTATTAATTTGAGCCATAATTTTCTTGTTGGATGTAAAAGCAAGAAACAATCATCATTTTAATATATTTCTGAAAACTGGTGCTAATACTCAAAATTTGTATTGGAATTTCAAATATCACTTTATAGATATGCAAAGTAGGTTTTTAAAAGTTCATACTGTTTTTACACATACTATTTTTCAGTAAACACTGAAAAACTTGTTATGAATATTGGTTTAATTAAAACAGTGGAATTAAAAAAAAATTTATTAAATGTTTTTACTGAACTATATTGTTTACATGTTAACTGTCATACTTCTTTTTTTCTTTCTTTTTCCATAAAGAGGTGTGGTTGAAGAGACTTCAAACAATGCAGAACCTGGTAGAACATCTAATTTTGATAGGTATGTCCATGCCACTAAGATGCAGCCTCAGTCATCTGGATCTCTCAGATCAAATGCTGGAGCAGAAAAAGGCAAAGAAATTGCAGCCAAGTTAAATATTCATCGAGTTCATGGGCAACTTAGGGGTCTTGATACAACAGGTAGGATTCTACAACAGGTATTTTTCCTTGACATGTATAAATGTAAGAAGAATTTGCAAAAGGAAACGATTTTTAAAAATATTGCTACAATTTGAGTATTTTATAAGAGAAAGGTATTTCTGCATATATTGAACACATGGTATTTAATTGTTTAGTTACTCGTGTTCTCTGACAGTGGAAGGTAAACTGTGGTAGGAAAGTGAGTGGTATGGCCCAAATTAGGAACTGCTTCTGTCTCCTCTCTTTTTTCTTCATAGTATCTGCTGGCTCATTATAAAACAGAGAGTATGATCTTTATCATCTTTCTTACTTTTTAATCATTCTGTTGGCACAACTTCATTAAAAAGAATTAATTGCAAGGGGCACCTTCGTGGCTCAGTTGGTTAAGCGTCCCATTCTTGATTTCGGCTCAGGTCATGATCTCGCAGTTTGTGAGTTTAAGCCCGTCAGGCTCTTTGCTGACAGTGCAGAGGCTGTTGGGATTCTCTATCTCCCTCTCTCTCTGCCCCTTCCCTGCTCACTTCTTTCTGTCTCTCTCTCAAAAGTAAATAAGTAAATGTAAAAGATGATTATCTTTTATATAAAAAAGAATTAATTGCAATATCAAAAGCTGTTAGTCAAATCTATAAAATATAGTAGCAATAAGAACAATAGCTCTGTCTCTTAAAGTCCCTCTTGAGGTGAAAAACTAGAGATGTTACATGTCCTTTTAATATTTTTGATGTAATTTAGTGCATAGCTCATTTTATTTTATTTTTAAAAAATTTTTTTAACGTTTATTTATTTTTGAGACAGAGAGAGACAGAGCATGAACGGGGGAGGGGCAGAGAGAGAGGGAGACACAGAATCCCAAACGGGCTCCAGGCTCTGAGCTGTCAGCACAGAGCCCGACGTGGGGCTCGAACTCACGGACCGCGAGATCATGACCTGAGCTGAAGTCAGACGCTTAACCGACTGAGCCACCCAGGCGCCCCTACATAGCTCATTTTAAAGGCTTCAGTGATCTCAGATTGTCAGAGATTCAATCTAGAAAAAAATGGAATGTGTCACTCTTACTTGAGATAATTGCTATGTTAAAATCTATATATAGGACAGGTGACCAATCCTGAATGAACAAATGATTACCTTGAGTTTGCTCATTGTATTCTGTGAGCTCTGAAGTTTCCATGATTCTTGTATATATCCTGGGTCTGTGTAACTGCTGTGGCTTTCTCAAAGCTTATTTCACCATCCTTGTGTTTGAGGGCAAAGCATTTTGAGGATTCCAAATAAAAAGACTTTTCATGGCTGCCTGAGATCTATTGTCCTAGAGCTGGTACAAAATATAGTGGCTTAAATATAAAAAGGCTTAGTTTGCACTGGTAACCAGTTTGCACTTGGGTGTTGTAGAGACTGTAAGAAGTAATTAAATAGAATTTTGAAAGGCACACTATGTAGAAAAAAGTCATTAAAGACAAAACATAGTGTAAAAAAGCGTATGTAAAAAACATAATGTTAAAAAAAATGTAATTGTCTTTATATGTGCATAAGATATCTGTGAAAGGATTCTCAATAATCTAATGACATTTGTTACCTAAAGGGAGGGGAGGTGGATGTCCGAGTGTGGTATTGGAGCTTTTCATTGCATACCCTTTCACACATTTTGGATCTTTGATTTATGCAAGTAATTACCTAATCCAAAAATTTCAGTAAAATTTAAGTTAAATTCTCATCTTATATCATACATCAGAATAAGTTCATGGAATTAAAGGCAAATATGAAAAAAATAAATAATGGAAAAACATAGAAAAATGTAAGTGAACATTTAGTCTCTGACAAGGGAAGACTTTTTAATCATAGTGCAAAATACAGTGTTTTCGTATGATGGGATGTTCTGTAACAATTAAAATAGTATCTTTGAAGAATTTTTGATGCCCTCAGGAAGTTATCATGGTTTGCTGTTACTTGAAATGTGGGAACCAAAGCTGGTTTGTTTGTAAAATAATCTCTAAAATGCTAGAAAGAAATTTAATTCAAATGTAAACAAGTTTATCTCTGAGTGCTAAATTTACATGTTTTTTTTAAACCTTTTTTTTTTTTTTCCTTTTCTCTCTTAGCTGTAATCACAGAAAGAAATGAAAAAAGTAAACTAAAAGCCTTTGCCAGGCATGCAGGATGTTAGTTTCCATATTGCATATTGTAAGCAGTGGAATTATTATGGCAATGTCTGTTATGAATTGTAATTACATAAAATGTGTTACCATAAAGTAATCTTTTAGTAAAAGCTGTAATTTTCCTATTTTCTAATGTTTTTCCTAAAGCTGGGTAATTAATTAAAATAATTTTTTTTGTAACACAATGAGAAATTCTTTTTGTAACATGAGAACATAATTAAAATAATTTTTTTTTGTAACATGACTATGTAAAAATAGTTTACCATGAAACTGAATTATTCAGGAGCTATTTAACTTTAGATTTTTAGAGTGTCCTATAATCTTTCAGAAATGAATTCATTCTGCCTCTGAGCAATTATTTGTTAACTGTGGAATCCCTTTTCCTCCCTTTTACTTCAGTGAGATTCTGGCACTTTTTAAGTAGTAAGATATTAGGCATTATTTTAGAAGTTGGTTGGTTCGTTTATTTTTCTTTTTGACAGGGTATTAAGATATCTTTTTAAGATATGCCAAATGTTTCTTTTTTTTTTTTTAAATACAAACCTCTCTGTCTTTGAAAATGGTCATCTTGTTCTCTTTTGATAATAGATATTGGTACCTGTGCCATCACTGCTATTCCTTTTGAGAAATCCAAAGTTTTATTTACTCTTGAAGAGTTGGATGAGTTTACTTTTGTGGATGAAACTGATCAGCAAGCTGTTCCAGATGTGACTCGCATAGGTCCCAGCCAAGAAAAATGGGGTTGGATAATGTTTGAATGTGGACTTGAAAATTTAACCATAAAAGGTAAGCATTCTTAAAAAATTCTGCTTAAATGAGGGACAAATTGACCCCATGTTGCTGAAATGTTTTGAATGATTGTGATTTTTAATAACCTGAATCAGCATATTTAAGCAGAAAGTGTGGTATGTGGGACTATTTACCAGGGTGGGTGCTCCATCCCAATTGCATAAGTGGAACTTTCCCTTCGTTGTGTGATTCAAAACTAACAGAGCATGTAGACATACAAAGCATCAGTGGTTGAACAGAAAAATCTGTGGTTCAGAAAAAATTTTTGAATAAAATATAAAGCCACCCAGCTTTTGAAAGTTTGTGTCTTTGCAAACTGGATTTTTGATTAGTAGAGATTTGCAGGATGAAAATACAGTAAATCCTTTATTCAGTGAGACACACTGACTTACAGTTACATTTGTTTTCTTTTATATTACTGAATAATATACAAAAAAAAGGGAAGGCTGAGTTGTATATAAGACTTTAGGTTTAGTCATGTATGATAGTAATTTTATATACCTACAATTCTTTATCTGATAATCTAATCTTATGTGACTTTTATGGATAAGGACAAGTTTTGATGAGAAAGAATATCTTCATGAATTTTTATTTTTTGTTTTTATCTTTATGGATACTGTAGAGTACAGCATTTATACACCTACCATTTTTAATAAATATATTCTTTCATTTTTAAAGGAGGAAGACAATCTGGTGCTGTTTTATATAATACGTTTGGAATTATGGGTAAAGCTAGTGTCACAGAAAGAGGTGGAGTGCTGACATCCAATAATTCTTCTGATTCTCCAACTGGCAGTGGCTATAATACTGATGTTTCTGATGATAATCTTCCTTGTGATCGAATAAGTCCTTCTTCAGACTTAAATGGAAATTCTGTTTCAGATGAACAAGTTGGTGAATTTTTAATAGTAATAGCGCTTTGAAAAATAACAGAAAACTGCACACCCAATTCACAGTTAATTTCTGGAGTATATTTGCTTGTCTTTCCATATTTTAGATTTTGCTTAAATAGTAATCAAAGTATTTTGGTGATTATATACTACTACTAGAGTGTAAGTTCTGAAATGTAGGTACCATACCATAGATCTATTTCTATCTGCTGTAGTGCTTTGCTTTATACCTTGCTCATATTAGGCACTTAATATTTGTTGAATTATTAAATTAATAGAATATCAGAAAAGTAGTCATTGTTTTTATGTTGTTTCAAGGATTTTATATGCAATTCATTTATTGTTTTTATAATGGTAGAATGTCATGATGAATAATAGCAATAATGAAAATATTCAAAGTTCTAGATTATAGAAGAGTTGTACCAGTGATTGGTGCAAGTTATTTCATCTCCGAAGTTTCTTCATCTGTATAGTATTATAATGATATTGACCTTCTAATTTGTTAAGATTAAAGGAGATAATACATATGAAAGGTTTAACTCAGTGTCTGGCACATAGAAAGAACTTGATAGATGTTGTTTTTAAACACATATATACATATACTTCTAATCATTTGAAAATTAGACCAGTTGAAGAGGAAAGAAACCACCTTTTAAGAAATGTCATGGATATCCAGTATCCATTGGCATAATGAGCTCTGAACCCCAGGTTTCTAGGAATTTAGTTTTGAAACATTTATTTTGATTTGAGGCATAGTTCAAGAGTTTAATCACAGTTTTCTTGTGAGGTCTTTGGAAGTATTTGAATGGTGGTTGGGAATTAGCACTTTAATTAAGGAAATTAAAAAATCCAATAGGTTCTCACTGGACAAAAGAACTGGGAAAAACCAGCTGTGCTCTCTTTGTCCTTCTATCCTGCTAATATACTTGACAGAAACTCAGGTGTCTTCCTTGATCTCTCTGATCCTACTCTCCTTGCTGAGTATCTCTAAATTTTGTAACATTGCTTACTTTGGCTTCTCTGACTTTTGCTGGTCCATGTCCTTATTCAGTTCTTTGTCCTTAAATGTGGGTGTTCACCCCACGTTCTCTTTTTGGCTACCTTGCTTTTTTTGCTATTTGTCCACTCCCTGATTTATTTCATTTCCTAGTCCTGCTCCATAATTTGGTGACACTACTCTTGCCCATTGGTTATGCTTTTAGCACTAACCCTTCACCTGAGCCCCCGAATTACATGCATTGGCCTTTAGCTGTCATCATTTACACATACCATAGGTGCCCAAAATTCGGTCAACCTAAATCTAAGTGTATTACTGCTTTGCTTCACATATTATTATAATTAGTTGCTTATTACCTACAAGCTCCCTTCCCTTTTTAAAATTTGAGTTCTTGAAGACTTTCTTCTCACAGCCTTGTCTGAAACCCACAGGTCAGGTGTATTTGAGAATTCAGACTTTTTTTCCTTTAAGAGAAAGGTAATAACTGTGTGTGGTTTATATGTTACATAAACGCCTAGTGGAATCTGAGATAGCACTGTGTCTTGAAGTATTTAAATACTTATGTAGCACAACATTAATAAAAATGCCAAATGGGATAAATAGCCCGTCACCAGTTCAGATCAAATTTTGTTGCCACATTTACACAGAAATATTTAGATTTTTCAGAACATTGTAATTTTAGAATTGCAGATAAGGAATGTCGACTTATATTTAGTGCCTTCTAACTTTAAAATTACTGTTGCCTATGGTTCAAGTTGGTTTTTTAGCACTTAGGATTCAAACTATTTTGTGGATACTCTAGATTCCTTAATCATCCCACAAGAAAATGTCAGTCTTTTCTTCATCTTGATCACAAGTGAATCAGAGAGCTATAAGTAGACATTACAGGCCGTAGACTTTTTTGTTTCCTTAATATTATTCTTACCTCCTTGCATTCTAAAGAGTGGTGATTATACATTTAAAAAATACTCCTCTATTTCTTAATACTGATTCAGACTGCTAGCATATAAGATAACTCAGAATTTTTGATTGTAGAGTGTTGTTTATTTGAACATGGACTACACTAGTATTTTTATGGCACTTTATTTGGAAGTTTAAAGTATTTTGTTAAACTGGAATGGAAAATAGATTGTGGTGGGAAGCAGAAGACCTTAATTCTATCACTCATTCTCCTACTTAATATTGTATGACCTTTTGGCAAATCACCAAACCTCTTTCTCTCACTTTCTTCACATGGAAAAAATAACAGTTAAACATCTCTAAACAAATGTGATTGAATGAAGTGATCATGAGAAACCCTTCAGTTCCAAGATTTCTTGATTTATGGTTTGTTACAGTGCAGTGGCTTCTCAGACTATGCTCCTTGGAGCTTCAAGGGTCTCTAGATATTTCTCAGAATCAGGCTGAGCAGGGTTTATGTTACCTGTTTTATATAAAGGTGTTCTCTGTAGAACTTGCTTTGTTGGGAAGATTTTGTGCTTAAAACATTAACCTTTGCACTAGTGATTTTAAGGAGCTAAGTTTTTGGTTTTTGAATTTATGTAGGATGAAGGAGTTGAATCTGATGATTTGAAAAAAGATCTACCTCTGATGCCTCCACCTCCAGATTCATGTAGCATGAAGTTGACCATCAAGGAAATATGGTTTAGTTTTGCAGCTCCCACCAATGTGAGATCTCCTACACATTCATTTTCTAGGTAAAAAGTTTTTAAAATGTAGTACTATTCCTTGATGTTACTTTATTTTAAATAACATAAAATTCTATCTAATGTTTTTTAAATTATTTTTCTGATATATCTAGCATTAGGGTTGCCACTTTCTTACCATATTTCCTACTTTCATGCTTTCTATAGACCTTATTATTCTCTTGTTTGACTCTTTTTCTTTTCTAGGGCTTTAGTTTTATATGTCACCTCACCATGAACTTCTTACTTTCACCTCTAATAGGTTTTAATAATTTTCTTTTTTTCCTATTATCTGTTCTTGGCATTTCTACTTATATGTTCATAATGTATCTGGTAACCAAAAGGAAAAGAAATTTTGCCTAAGTAAATAGCCACTAAGTATAGTAAGTATGGATTATTGTTTGAAATACAAATCTTGACACTTGTTTTTGTAATTTTTTTTTTTTAATATTCAAAGGCAGCTGAACCTTTTAAGCACTGCAACTCCAGCTGTTGGTGCATGGCTTGTTCCCATTGATCAACTCAAATCATCCTTAAACAAATTAGAAACTGAAGGCACCTTGAGAATTTGTGCTGTTATGGGATGCATAATGACAGAAGCATTAGAGGTATGTCTTTCAACAATACAAGGTATCATACAGAATTTATTATTGAACATGATCCCTTATTGTTCATCATTGTTGGAAAACATCAGACCTGCAAGTTCTTGATTACTAGATATCTTCTATTTGCACTGTCTTTGATTTATATAACTCTAAATCTGTTGTTTTTGCTTTGTTTCAGAATAAAAGTGTACATTTTCCGCTGAGAAGTAAATACAACAGACTTACAAAAGTTGCACGTTTTCTCCAAGAAAATCCTTCATGTTTGCTGTGCAATATACTACATCACTACCTGCACCAGGCAAATTACTCCATCATTGATGATGCTACAATGGTGAGTTATGGAAACCATATGTGAAACCATAGATTAGTTTTAAAGAAGCCTCTATTCTTTAGAGGAGCCATTCATTGATCCATGGGGTTTGAGATGTGGATGAGAAGTCTAGAGGAGAAATACAATTAGAAATACTGGCTTATAGACAACAGTGGGCTCAGATGAATGATTTGGGAGTTGCCAACATGAAAGTGTTAGAAGCTGTAGATGAAAACTTCTAGATGGATGAAACTTCTAGAGATGATGGCGTGTTGAGGGAGAAACTGGTCCAGGATGGATCCCTGAAGAATACCAAAATTAAAGTGGGGTGGCGAGAGGGTGGATAGAGCTACACAGAATGCTGAGGAGGGAAAGTAACGGGTAGGAGAATGAGGAATAAATGCCTTAGAAGCCAAAGGTTTAAAGAATTTCAAGCAAAAAGTAATCACCAGCATCAGATTTCACAGAAATGTTTAATAAAATAGGGGCTAATTAATGGTTAAGGGGAGAATGTATAATAATACAAAATAAATACAATATATGTCTGCCTCTAGAAAAGCACTACAGAAGATAACATGTCATCATTAGAGGTTTAGAACTTGAGGATCTCTCTTCTCTCCAAGCTTTAGGTCAATAGAAAATGCATGAGAAGTTTAGCCAAATTAGGGATCATTCTATCAGTATTTATTAATTATAACCTCCAATGAGAGAATCTCTAGTAAATGATGGATTTGAAAAAGGTACTTAGACCTGAGACTAGTATAGTGCTTTCTACTCCTACCCTGGAAATTGAAGGCTGGAGGTCCACAGTGCAAGGCTAGCTTGCCCATCTACTCATAGGCAGAGACACTGGAACTGAAATGCCACCAGGCATTTCTCATGTATGGATGCTTTGCCAAGATATGCTTTATATGTAAGAGGAAGAAGCACAAGATGGCTCTCCTTACTTGAGTCTAAGAATTAAAGGACAGGCTAAGAGATCTGATGTTCCTCAGAAAGCAAGTAAGGTGATTTCTGCTGTCTAATAAATGTCTGTCTTCAATCAGAGCATTTCTCCCAACACAAGGAATTACAAGAAAGGGGATGGAGAGGAGTTGGATGTTTTCCTCTTAGGAAATTAGGAATTAGCCAAATTTTCTTTCTTAAAATCATCACCATGTGGAATAAAGTATATTCTAAATTATGTAATTGTTAATGATAATACCTTTAACTTTGAAAGCAGTTACAAATTCAACTGTGTTCAGCATTTAACCATAGTAATTTATTTATTTTTAATGTTAAAATAGTGGTGGTCACCTAATCTTTGAAGGGAATAATTTCATTCTGTTTGTTTAATGAATATTCCAGGTAGCTCAGAATACATTTGATTTCCTCAATTGAGTAAAAAAGATACAGTGGACTGAATGGTTCTTAAGGAGAATCCCAATTTTGCGCCTCATGTTTAGCTTCTTATTCACCTGGTAATGTGTTATGACAGAAAGATGCAATGTTATATTTAGAGAATGAGTTCTATAGTCAGCTTGAAATGATCTCTTTTGTAACCTTGAACAAATTATAACACACAAATTCTAGCTTCTTCATCTCTAAATGGGAGTTATGGGGTTTAAATGAATAAATGTATGCAAAGCACTTAAATAGTAACTTACTATTAAATCATTATTGTTACAGAGTGATGGACTTCCTGCGTTGGTAACTTTAAAGAAAGGTTTAGTTGCACTGGCAAGGCAGTGGATGAAGTTTATTGTGGTGACACCAGCCTTTAAAGGAGTTAGCTTACATCGACCAGCTCAGCCCCTCAAACCTCAATCAGCTGTGGATCACGAACATGAAGATGGACTTGGGCTGGACAATGGAGGTGGTCTTCAAAGTGACACCAGTGCTGATGGAGCAGAATTTGAATTTGATGCAGGTAATCTGTAAATATTTTAGTTAGATATTACACCTTGGTAACATGGTATATGTGATAATTTTATTCATTTGTGTGCCAAAATTTGAAATTGTCATGGCTTAATTACATAAGTATGGTTTGTATTAGTCCAAATAAATGATGATAATATTGGAATCTTTATACTGACTTTTGAGTTTTATATTTAATTTCATAAAATACGATAGACTTCTCCTAATCTATCCAGTATAATAACAGACATCTTTGCATAGCTAGAATGTTTTGCGTGAAGCACATTAACTTTCTTTTAAAATTCACATTTGTATTTGTTCATTGTCTTGTCTATGACATAGTCTTTTAAAGAAGCCTTTGAATTTTACCTGGTGCCTGGTTGATTATGTATTTATGTAATGTTTAGAGTCATGCTTTCAGCCTGTAATTTTATCAGCATAATGACTGTGCCAGAACACAGACAATAGATATGCTTTTCAAAATTCTATGTGCACACTTTAATGCTTTTTCAGAGGTTTTCTTTTGTTATCAAGACATGTCATTTTGAATTATACTGAATTATCATATAATATTTTGAAAAAAATATTACAAGTACCATGGAAAAGGACAGTAGCCTTAAAATTAGAGCTTTCAGAACATTGATATATCAAAAATCTCCCAACAAACAAAAGTCCAGGGCCAGATGGCTTTTCAAATTCTACCAGACATTTAAACAAGATTTAATACCTAGTCTTCTCAAACTATTCCAGAAAATATGAATGGAAGGAAAACTTCCAAACTCATTCTGCCAGGCCAAGCATTACCTTGATCCAAAACCAGACAAGGATCCCGCTAAAAAGGAGAATTACAGGTCAATATCCCTAATGAACCCAGATGCAAAAATTCTCAACAAGATGCTAGCAAATCAAATCCAGCAGTACATTAAAGGAATTATTTACCATTATCAAGTGGGATTTAATCCTGGGCTGCAGGGGTGGTTCAATATTTGCAAATCAATCAATGTGATACACCACATTAATAAAAGAAAGGGTAAGAACCATGACCCTTTCAATGGATTCAGAAAAAGCATTTGACAAAATATAGCATCTGTTCCTGATAAAAACCCTCAATAAAGTAGGTATAGATGGAACATACCTCAACATCATAAAGGGCATATACAAAGACCCACAACTAATACCATCCTTAATGAGGAAAACTGAGAGCTTTTCCTCTAAGGTCAGGAACAAAACAGAGGTGTCCACTCTCACCATTACTATTTAACATAGTACTGGAAATCTTAGCCTCAGCAATCAGACAACCAAAGGAAATAAAAAGCGTCCAAATCAGCCATGAAGAAGTCAAACTTTCACTATTTGCAGATAACATGATATGCTATGTAGAAAATCTGAAAGACTCCACCAAAAAAATTGCTACAACACATGAATTCAGCAAAGTTCAGGACACAAAATTTATATACAGAAATCGGTTGCATTTCTATACACCAATAATAACACAGCAGAAAAAGAAATCAAGGGATCAGTCTCCAAAGTTGCTCCAGAAACCGTACGATACCTATGAATAAACCTAACTAAAGAGTCAAGAGATCTGTACTCTGAGAACTGTAGAACACATATGAAAGAAATTGAAGAGGACACAAAGAAATGGAAAAGCATCCCATGCTCATGAATTGGAAGAATAAGTATTGTTAAAATGGCAATACTACCCAAAGCAATCTGTGCATTTAATGCAATCCTTATCAAAATACCACCAGCATCTAGAATAAAATACTAGAATAAATAATCCTAAAATTTGTATGGAAACACAAAAGACCCTGAACAGCCAAAGCAATCCTGAAAAAGAAAAGGAGAGCTAGAAGCATCACAATTCCAGACTTAAAGCTATATTAAAAAGCTATAATCATCAAGACAGTATGGTACTGGCACAAAAGCAGACACTTAGATCAATGGAACAGAATAGAAAACCAAGAAAGGGACCCACAACTATATGGTCAACTAATCTTCAACAAAGCAGGAAAGAATATCCAATGGGGAAAAGACAGTCTCTTTAACAAATGGTGTTAGGAAACCTGGACAGCAACATGCAGAAGAATGAACCTGGACCACTTTCTTACACCATACACAAAAATAAATTCAAAATGCATGAAAGACCTAAAGGTGAGACAGGAAACCATCAAAATCCTAGAGAAGAGAACAGGCAGCAATCTTTTTGACGTTGGCTGGAGCAACTTCTTACTAGAGATGTCACTAGAGACAAGGGAAACAAAAGCAAAAATGAACTATTGGGATCTCATCAAAATGAAAAGCTTTTACACAACAAAGGAAACAATCACCAAAATGAAAAGGTAGCTTATAGAATGGGAGAAGACATTTGCAAATGACATATCTGATAAAAGGTTAGTGTCCAAAATCTATACAGAACTGATCAAACTTCACACTGAAAAAACAAATAGACATTTTTTCAAAGAAGACATCCAGATGGCTAACAGACACATGAAAAGATGCTCAACATCACTCATCATCAGGGAAATACAAATCAAAACCATGATGACATACCACTTCTCACCTGTTAGAATGGCTAAAATTAACAACAGAAGAAACAACAGATGTTGGTGAGGATGTGGAGAAAGGGAAACCCTCTTGCACTATTGGTGGAAATGCAAACTGGTGCAACCACTGTGGAAGACAGTATGGAGGTTCCTCAAAAAGTTAAAAACAGAACTACCCTACAACCCAAGCAATAGCACTACAGATTCAAAGGGGTACATGTGCCCTGATGTTTATAGCAGCATTATCAACAATAGCCAAACTATTGAAAGAGTCCGAATGTCCATCAGCTGATGAATGGATAAAGATGTGGTATATATATACAATGGAATTTTACTCAACCATCATGAAGAATGAAATCTTGCCATTTACAACAACATGTATGGAAGTAGAGTTTATTATGTTAAGCAAAATAAGCCAGTCAGAGAAAGACAAATACCATATGATTTCACTCATATGTGGAATTTAAGAAACAAAGCAGATGAAAATAGAGGAAGAAAAAATAAAGAGGGAAGTAAACCCTAAGAGACTCTTAACTATAGTGAACAAACTGAGGGTGAATGGAGTGAAATGGGTGGGGAGAATGGGCTAAATGGGTGATGGGCATTAAGGAGGGTACTTTTTACAATGAGCACTGGATGTTATATGTAAGTGATGAATCACTAAATTATGCTCCTGAAACCAATAGTACACTGTATGTTAACTAAAATTTAAATAAAAATTTGGAAAAAAATCTTTACCCAGGTTTTTTGTTGTTGTTGTTGTTTTTAAAAAAACTTTATACTTAAAAGTGAATATGCTCTGAATAATAGGCTGGATTTCAAGTCTACCTGAAAATTGGAAGAATACTATAATAAACATCTCTTCTAATTAGTTATCTTCAAATGCCTAGGTTAATCTGAAAATTATGTATTTGCAGCTTAGTTGAATTGTTTTTTTATCTCTATACCATTTGGGTGGCCTGTGGAGGCACTGAATAGAAGTTATTTGTTCCTTTTTTAAGATAAATGAGAAGATTGGGGTTGGGAGAGTAAAAGAAAAATGTGAATTAATATTATAGTTTATTCCACAATTAATTTCAAGGAAATTTAATTAATTTATTTATTCAAGGCATATGTAAAGTTGGGACTTACACTAGGAACACTGGTGTTGCTGTTTCAAGAAAATGTCTAATCACCTATAGCCTACGTATTCTTTTGAACTATTTCAGCCACAGTCAGTGAACACACAATGCTGCTAGAAGGAACAGCCAACCGGCCTCCACCTGGTAGTTCTGGACCTGTAACTGGAGCTGAAATAATGAGGAAACTTTCTAAGACTCATACTCATAGTGACTCTGCATTAAAAATAAAGGTACATTATTATTACTATTTTTAGTTAGGGTAGTCTTCCAGAGAAGATCTAAATTTTTGATATCTCAAATTCAAATACTAGGTATTTAAATTTAAATCTTCAAATAGTATTTCTATATCAGTAATTAATAATTCAATAATAATAAATATCCTTATGGTGAAATTAACATGATTAGTAATTTAATATACAGTTAGAGTTAGGCTATTTTATGAATTTATTTACACTGTTGAGCTGGACCACCTTGGGAGCCAGACAGCCTTGGTTTCAATTCTGCCTCTGCCACTCAGTTGCTTTGTGACTGAACAAGTTACCTGTACTGTGTGTCTGTTTCCTTATCTGTCTGATGGAGATTACAGTAATAACTTTTTCCAGAAAGTCAATGTAAGAAATAGCTGTAATAGATGGAGAATGCTTAGAATAATACCTGGCACATAGTAAGAATGTAAGTTATTTGTTGTTGTCATGGGTTATGTATTTTTTGTTAGTTTCCTTTTCTGAGCAACGAAAACAACAGTTAATATATTAACTTTCTTTGAAAATCTGGGTATAGACTTATATTAATACCCAGAACCCATAAGGTAAAAGGTGATAATTTTGCTTATATTAAAATATAAAGTTTCTACACAGAAAAAAATAATGTATCATAAACAAAATAGACATATGACAAAGGGCTAATTTCCTCATATATATAAAGATCTTTTTCTAATCATTAGGAAAAAAGAGCAAAACCAAATGGAAAAATGGTATATGGACAGTTCACATAGAAATATATATACATATGTGAATATGTACCCTCTTACAAATAAAGAAATGTAAATTATTTTTTTTTTAATTTTTTTTTTCAACGTTTATTTATTTTTGGGACAGAGAGAGACAGAGCATGAACGAGGGAGGGGCAGAGAGAGAGGGAGACACAGAATCGGAAACAGGCTCCAGGCTCTGAGCCATCAGCCCAGAGCCTGACGCGGGGCTCGAACTCACAGACCGTGAGATCGTGACCTGGCTGAAGTCGGACGCTTAACCGACTGCGCCACCCAGGCGCCCCAAGAAAAGTAAATTAAAATGAGATTTCCATTTCCACCTGTCAGACTGAAAACAGTAAAACATTTGAATAGTGTATATTGTTGGTGAAGATGAGAAAACAGACACTCTCCTACACTACTGGTGGGAGTGTAAACTGGCACAACCTCTTGGAAGAATAATATGACAATTTGTATCAAAACTTAAAATGTGATCTTCTCTTACCCAGTATGTTCATGTCCAGGAATTCATTCTAAAGAAATGGATGTTCTAATTATTCAAAGACACACATCCAATAATGTTTTTCCAACACTGTTTATGATAGGAAAATAATAGAAGAAACATAAATAACTAATCATTAGAGGACTAATAAACTAGTGTACCCTGATACAGATGTAGACTATTGAAGACTTAAAAAATTGTGTTTAAAAGATAAAGGAGGGGGCGCCTGGGTGGCGCAGTCGGTTAAGCGTCCGACTTCAGCCAGGTCACGATCTCGCGGTCCGGGAGTTCGAGCTCCGCGTCAGGCTCTGGGCTGATGGCTCGGAGCTTGGAGCCTGTTTCCGATGCTGTATCTCCCTCTCTCTCTGCCCCTCCCCCGTTCATGCTCTGTTTCTCTCTGTCCCAAAAATAAATAAAAAACGATGAAAAAAATTAAAAAAAAAAAATAAAAGATAAAGGAGATCTCTAAGTGGATATGGAATGGTCACCAGAGTGCTGGATTAAAGTTAACACAAAATATGGGATAATATGTATCTGTGTGTTAAAAAAAAAAAGGATAAATATGTGTATGTGCTTGTATAGTCATAAATTATTTAAAGAAGGATAAGATCAGTACCTTTTGGGGAAGGGATATAGTAGACTGGAGTGAGGGGATACTTTTTATTGAACAATCTTTTTGTGCTTTTAAAGTCTTCATTCTGTGTACATATTGCTCTTTTAATTAAACAATTCAATGATTGGTATACATTTGTTAAGTTTGGACTATTAGGCTTACTCTATTTCTACAGCATAGTTAGAAGGAGGATACTTTTAAACTCTCAACTCCTTAGTCAGTTTCAGGTTTTTTTTTGGTTGATGATTTTTCCTTTCTCCACAAACGTTCCTTTGTTTATGGATCATAAAAATCCTCCAGAGAATTGAATTGCAGTGCTTTGTTTCAGACCTCTTCTTCTATAGGCTTTTCTTGTACTATTTTATACTGATCTGAAATTCTAATCTTAGATGTGACAGAGCAAATAGAGATGGGCAATTCTGTAACTTTTTATTTTCCTCAGAGAATTTCTGAAAATTGTTTTTGACATATTAGAACTCTACAGAGAATCTCTCACAGATTTTCATTATCAGGGTACCAAGAAAAGTACTACAGTATTAAGAATTTCGGGATAGAAATCTTGCCACAAGACACACGCTTCAGATTTCAAAGGGAGTTAATAATTCATTGTTAAAATAAGTGAGTGATAATAAAGGCTGTTCTTTGCATTGTACTATAACGTTTTAAAACATTTATACATACACTTGAGATTCACCGTAGTCCTAGTAGGCACAATCTGTGTTGGTATTAACGTGAATAGTAACTAGCAGTAATAGCAACAGTAGTAGTAGTTGCAGTTATTAGCAGTCATTGTTATATACATAAGAAAGAAAGAGCCCTGTGTTGTTCCTTTTGCAGGGCATTCACCCATATCATTCTTTGAGCTATACCAGTGGAGACACTGCCACAGATTCTCCGGTACATGTTGGACGTGCTGGGATGCCAGTTAAGGAGAGTCCAAGGAAGGAGAGCCTACTCAGCTACCTGACTGGAAGCTTCCCAAGCCTGCACAACCTCCTGGAAGGGACCCCTCAAAGAAGTAGTGCAGCTGTAAAAAGCAGCTCCTTAACAAGAACAGGTACATCCTTAGTTTAGACAATTATAAGTTTACTTCTATGCAAGAATTAAAAACAAACAAGACTTAAGTTTATTTTGATTTATACTTTGGTTGCATAACTAATCTATCTATGTATTACACATAGAAATCTTTGAAAAAAGATTTTGGGAAACTCTTCTCTTTGTAACTTTTGGTGTCTTCATGCCTTTAATTTGTATTTCTAAATTGCAGCATTTGACATTACTGTCAACCTAGCCATGGTATGGGATGGTGTCAAAACCAGCTAGCGGTGCATTTCTTCTTGTTATATTAAAAATAAGTTATTTATTAATGCCTTAATATCTAAATACCAACATCATGCAGTGAGTTTGAAAACATCTGCAAAAGACAATTTAACCTGACTTTTAAAAATTAATTACATAAATCATATTTTATGCTTCCTTAGTATGTAAGTAATACATAAATAATAAACAATAAAACTTTTTTTTCAGGAAATACAATGGCCACTGATATGTTATCCGAACATCCCTTGCTATCTGAGCCATCTTCTGTGAGTTTCTATAATTGGATGTCAAATGCTGTTGGTAATCGTGGAAGTGTGGTACAGGAATCTCCTGTTACAAAGTCTGCACATAACAGCCTTCCAACAGGTATTAAGCTACGTGTTATTTTGCTTAACTGTCTAAGATGCATACATAAATTTTAACAAAATCCTGTTTTTCAGGGAATAGTCAAAAAATCTGAAATGTTTAATAGTGTTCAGTTTAAATTTTCCCATTTATGAAATATCTTTGTTAATATCAAGTTGAGAGAATAGTAAGCAGTCACTTGGTGTTCTTGTGGAAAGACAAATATGTCAAATGTGAGATTGTATATAATTTAAAGAGTTTAAAATGTCCAGTTAATGTGGCTGGTTTAATTTTCTAAATACCAAAATGCGGTAAATGAAAACATGCAAAGTATATGGCATAATGTACCTACAATACAGAAAAATATTTTTAGTTTTTCCATGTTCCTCAGAGAAATAATAACTAGCATTCTTTTACTCTTTTTAGTAATTATTTAATTAAAATATTTAATTAAAATCTAAACGAGTACTAAGAGGAATTAAAAGAAGATTCTTGCCCTTGAGGAGGAAACGAGGGCAATTTATTTTATTTTATTTTATTTTATTTTATTTTATTTTATTTTATTTTATTTATTTATTTATTTATTTTTAAATTTTATTTATTCTGAGAGTGAGAGAGAGAGAGAGAGAGCATGTGTGCATGTGCATGAGTTGGGGAGGGGGCGCAGGAAGAGAGCAGAGAGAGAGAATCCCAAGCAGGCTCCATGCTGTCAACCATGAGATCATGACCTGAACCAAGATCAAAAGTCAGATGCTTAAGTGAGCCACCCAGACACCCTGGCAGTTTGTTAATTTTAAAAGGGTGTGTGTAAATAGGAAGAAGACTGGCAGGGAATTCACAAAGAAATATTGGTGGCTATCTCCAGAAACAGAAGAGGTGCCACCCTTCGTTTTCTACTTTTTTTTCTTTTTGGGGGGTGTTTTCCCAAATTTATTAGATGCATGTATTATTTTCTTGAAAAAAATTTTTTTAAAGACTGTGAAATAGGCTTTGGTCCTAGTTACTGAGGGCAGGTGAAGTTAATCCATGTAACAGCAATTTGCATTGCTAATAGGAAATTATGAAATGTGGTTGAAACATGACTATTTAGTTTTTTTGTTTTTTTTTGTTGTTTGTTTGTTTTTTTTTTTTTGCTGGTGTGTGGCGTACTTTTGAACCTGGAACTGATTCTAATTATGACTACATTCCAGTTCTTAGCATTGGCTCTTGGTTGAAGAAGAGAGAAGGATGATGCTTCCACCAGCTCTCAGTACTTTTCTAAAACTAGTCTCACTACTGTGCAGTTTAAATTTTAAGAAAACCAGAAAAGAACATTTCCTCTTTATCATGCGTGGGTCTTTTGCCTGGGGAGCTAAAGGGTAAAGGGAGTACATAGGAAAAGAAATAGTGTCATTTTATTTTTCTTTTGCCTCAGGAAAGCATAGTTGGGAAGAAATTTATATGTGGGACTCTGTGACATCCATTGCTTTTATCCTACTGCTATCTATGACTGCTCCTCAGTGCAAAGCTGAGGGAATATCAAATGCTTTTCAAAGATATTCTAGCCATAAAATTCTGTACTTTGGACTGGTTCTAATACAGACTTCATATATGAGGAAGACTAATATTTTCTGAAATTATAGTTTAATTTCATTTTTACTAGTAAATCATGCCTCTAAAATAACCTAAAAGTGCTGTTTTTTTTTTTTTCTTCATTCAATTAAAATGGTCTGGTAATACTACTATAATACAGAGTTCATAAGTTTACTTTGCTGTGCCCTTTAAGTTGTTTTTATTTCCTCACAACTTAAGTTTTATTTTTGAACATTTACTCTGTTAGGTGTTGCACCCAATCTTCCTACGATACCCTCAGCTTCAGATTTCAACACTGTCTTATCTAGCGACCAGAATACTTTGGATGGAACGCATTCTCAGCATAGCACTAGTCAGGATGATGTGGCAGGTGTAGAAGAAGCCAACCAAGGGTTTCCTGCTGTGCAGCTTGCTGATGCACAGGTGAGCCAGTCTCTTTTTCCATAATTATAGTAATCCCTCATTAGGTGGTACTTAGCAGCTGGAACCACCAAGTCATGTGCACCTTGGAAATTCTAGGGCATATCTTTTTTTCTGTGCTTCTCTGCCTAAAGCCTTCATGCAAAAAAAGGAGGAACCTTTTAAAAGTACATGGGTTAATTATAAATGCAAATTTAGCACTTGTAGATGTTCATTAAACAGAAGAGTGGTATATAGTTATTAGTCTCATACAGTAACATCTTTGTTATTTGGAGATACAAATTGACCAAAACACATGACTAGAAAGCTAAATTTAACCATGCCATATAGAAGGCTATATTAAGTGCTATGTTAAGACTTTATTGAGTGAGCAGTTGGGAGGCACTGAAGATTTTAAAGCAAGGAATAAAGTGACTAGAACTGTACATCTAGAAGAAATATTATATGGTAGCAATGTGTTAATGGATTGAAGTAGAGAACTATAGGTGAAAAAAATGAGTTATTGAAATAGTTCATGCAGTGGTAAATGAGGCTTTTAACATAGATGGTTGTGACTTTGATAAAGTGATGGTAAAATATTCTGGAGGTCTTTATTTAATTGATTAAAGGTAGGAGTGGACAGCAAAATCCTTTGACTATTTTGGTTTGAATGATCACAAGGCAAGTAGATGAGTGGGACTGTGGCTATTAAGAGGTGTTATTTTTTCAGGATGAGAGAGACTCAAGCATAGTTAGATACTTAGGAGGAATTAGGAAGGTCCTGATCAGAAGAAGAAAAAAGAAGGGTAAACTGATAGAGCAAGATTCAGAGAGGGATGAGGAGTGTTGGAATTTACAGTCATTTATAGAGAGAGATGTTTTAGACATAAAAATATACTTTTTTCCTCTGAGAATTTCCTCTGAGAAACTGAGAAGGCAATAAGGACAGTTCACAGCTATACAGGTAAGTTTGCAAATTGGTAGCTTCAATTTTCTCTTACAGTAGAAGGTAATTTATGTTAAGAAATGTGTCAGGCACTTTAAAATTTTCCTGAGATTTACTTCTCCAGTACATTAGAGTAGTTTTTAGGGTCTTCATTGTCTTATTTATTTATTTATTTATTTATTTATTTTTATTTTTTTTTTTTAATTTTTTTTTTCAACGTTTTTTTTTAAATTTATGTTTGGGATAGAGAGAGACAGAGCATGAACGGGGGAGGGGCAGAGAGAGAGGGAGATACAGAATCGGAAACAGGCTCCAGGCTCTGAGCCGTCAGCCCAGAGCCTGACGCGGGGCTCGAACTCATGGACCGCGAGATCGTGACCTGGCTGAAGTCGGACGCTTAACCGACTGCGCCACCCAGGCGCCCCTCATTTTCTTTTTTAATGGAGAGTGGGAAAATAAATAATTTTGTTGTTGTTTTGGCCTATAGAATACATTAATTGTATTTATTAGTATTCAATACATATTTTTAGAGATAACTATATTGTTTTAAAGACTCTAAAATCTACTAGAAACATGAATATTAAATAATATGGTAAAAAACTCTGTAAGGTAATTTAGATATGTGTAAACGTTGGAGTGAATATGGAAGAGAGCTTACCAAACAGACACCCTAAAAAGATTGTCAGATAGTGCTGAGGGCCTGGTTAAGAGTTTAGGTTAGTGTTAGGGTAGCAATGAATGCAATTATATCATCTCCTCTCATTGTTCCTAGCAGCTCAGCTATAGGAGTAGAAGATGATTGATCCAAAGCAGATATAGCAAGAAAAATGTGGTGATAAGATATAATAAACAATCTAGGAAGTTGGTGAAATGAAATTAAGCAAGATTATAGGGGAAAAGGAAGTCCTATAACTTTGGACTGAAGTGTTGGTTATCTTCATGGTCAAAGAAGTCATTCAGGATTATAAATTGGGATTGAAAAGAAACAGAAAATAATCAAAGTTTCTGGAATCAAAGTTTCTGATAGGTATGGAGCCATAAATAAATGACAAAGATTAGGAAAGAGGGTGGTTTGAACCTTAAAGAGGGTAGAGTTTTTCCATTAGAATGAACGAGCAAATCCAAGAGTAAAGGCAAGAAAGAATATCCCAAGCAAGTATAAAAGGGAGAAGAAATTTATCCCCAAAGTTCCAATCTACAGTAGAACTGTTTGAATTCTCTGTTCTAGTTCTTTAGTCCTTAGAAGAGTAGCCTTTCTTCCCAAGCACAAACAAATGAGATGTCCTAGAGGTAATTGAACATGTAGACTTGAGTCTTAATACATAAATTGCACTTGTCCATTTTAATGATAATCTTTAACTTTCAGGAAAAGATCACTAAAGGAGAATGTACAGTTGAAAGGGTTAGGGGAGGGCAATGGAAAGCACTGGGTAGCACCTATATTTTATTATACTTAAAAAAAAATTAATGTTTATTTTTGAGAGAGAAAGAGCACACATGAACGGAGGTGGGGGAGGGGCAGAAAGAAAGGGAGTCACAATCTGAAGCCAGCTCCAGGCTCTGAGCTGTCCGGGCCCCAATCAGCCCGATGTGGGGCTTGAACCCATGAACTGAGTCCCATTTTCAGGGACTCATGGGGCTTGAACCCATGAGCTGAAGTCAGATGCTTAACCAACTGAGCCACCCAGGCGCCCCATAGATAGCACCTATATTTTAGATGTGGAAGGAGGGAAAGGAACCATGCACCAGAGAATAAGTAAATTGATTATAGTAATCAACTACTAAACAAATTAGTTGCTTCTGTTTTAGTTAGCTCTTCATGACTACAACATCAGTTAACAAGACATTTAATCAGAGTGATGTATTTCTATAAGCATGTGTAGTACTTAAAATATAAAGGAAGTTTTTTGTCAGGAAATAAATATTAAATGACTGTTATAACCAAGTGATACCATTTAAAAATAGGTCAGATATTCATAATATAACATATGAAACATTTTTATATTAACATAAGATGTTGATAAGCTATTCTAATACCACGTTTTTATGGAAACACAGTATACATGCCTTTTTTAAAAACAGGAAGTAGAACGATTTAAACTAGTTCAGGGGCGCCTGGGTGGCTCGGTCGGTTAAGCATCCGACTTCGGCTCAGGTCATGATCTCACGGTCCATGAGTTCGAGCCCC